CCCCACCAACCCACCCACATGAACCCCCGCCAGCCCCCAGCCAGCCTCCCCACCAACCCACCCACATGAACCCCCGCCAGCCCCCAGCCAGGCGCCCCACCAACCCACCTACATGAACCCCAGCCGCTGGTGGCTAGCAGGCTGCTCTTTTTTAAACAAATTATATTTTTATTTTATCGGTTATTATAAAGGCGATGTACAGAGGGATTAGGGTGACGTAAGTCAGGTAGTGAGTACATTTCCTTTTGAGTCGTGTTGCCCCATGCCTCATTTTCTGCCAGTTTTTTCCCTCTCCACGAGCAGTTCATGTTCCACACAGTGCCCAGGGAGTGCCACTGCTGCGTTTATCCCTCCACGTCTGTGCGCCCTTACCCCCACCCCCCCGAAACAGATCAACCTACAGACAAGACCAACAGTACAGAAATCAAAACCAGCGGCACAGGGGAAAAAGTAACACAAACAAGAAGCAAAATGATATGAAAAGTCTCATTTTCATTTCTTGGGGTTCATTTCGATAAACGTTTTATATGATCCCGTGCCCAGAGCCGTTGAGACTTGGTGACCCACTCCTGACAAGCTCCTCCTTTGGTCTCCCTGTGAGATTCTCCAGAGCCCTGTGGGATTTATCATAGCCAAGTATATTCTTTTTTGTTGTTGTTGTTGGTCGTGGGGCCTGAACTCTGGGCCTGGGCGCTGTCCCTCAGCTCTTCAGCTCTAGGCTAGCGCTTTATCACTTGAGCCACAGCGCCACTTCCGGCTTTTTTATTTTCTGCTTATGTGGTGCTGAGGAATCGAACCCAGGGCCTCATGCATGTGAGGCAAGCGCTCTACCACTGAGCCACCTTCCCAGCCCCCAACCAAGTGTATTCTTTTACCATCCAGTGCGTTTACTTGTAGATGCGTAGGCTTACTTGCTTCCCTCCATTTTTCTGGTGTTCCCAGGGGTTTGCGCTATTGAATTTTGTGGTGAAGTATTCTCCCGAGAGGCAACGGTCTCTCCGTCCGCACCATGATGCCTCGACCTTCACCATCAACATCGCCCTCAATAACGTGGGAGAAGACTTCCAGGTAGCGTGACCCGGGGTGGTCGGGCTTGTGCTATTGTTTTGGTTCGTTTCTGTCTCAGATCTCAGAGGGCGTTATTTGAATATTGCCCGTGATTTAATGCCTAAAAATACTCAGGTGTACGCACAGGTGGGAGGGGAAGTGGGTAAACTGAGGCACCGGCCGGGGAGAAATGGAGGGGGACAGAAGGGGCGCACTACCGTAGAAGACTGATGGAGACGGATTGTTCTCACACACACCGACGTGTCGGATTGAAACCTCTCCGTGAGACGACTCGATGATCACTCAGTAAGATGAAGATTAAGCCAAGACGTGTGTTCGGTTTGCCTTTCTTAGGGAGGCGGATGCAAATTCTTGCGGTACAACTGCTCCATCGAGTCCCCAAGGAAAGGCTGGAGCTTCATGCACCCCGGGAGGCTCACACACCTGCACGAGGGGCTGCCCGTGCGAAACGGCACCAGATACATCGCCGTGTCCTTCATCGACCCCTGAGTCACCGCCCTGCCTCTCCTGCGATTTCCCCTTGGATCGGACGTCTGGTGCAGACAACGTCTTTGAGGAAATGAGAGGAACACTTGAGTAACGCCAACTCAACAACTTTGCTTTGGGCCAAACATTTGAGACGTTTGAAAAAATACATATATATAAATGTACTTATATATGTATAGCAGAAAAAATAGGTTTGCTTCTCAGTGTCTGCTCTGAGCCTTAAGACACAGGTTGAAGAAGAGAAGAAAAAAAAAGTAATTTATTTCTACGCCTGACCGTCTCTGATAAGCGGCGGCAACTTCCTGAATCTGGGTTTCCAGCTGCTCAGGGATTCAGGTACCAGTATGCAAAGCCGCGAGTGACGTCTAATAATATTTTATTTAAGAAAAGCTCGAGAAGAATTTTATTTATAAATCTATGGGGTGGGGGTGGGGGAATGCTAAAAAGCAAAACAGGATAGAGACACAGACGAGCCCGTGGTGAGCCCGGAAGCCCGGCTCTGGCTGAGGTCATGGTCATCCGCCTCGGGTGCCCACTCCTGCAGCCGGTGAGGACACAGGGAAAAGTAAGATCAGTGGGAAACCACGTGGACTTTCCTGCAAGCAGCAAGAAGCGTTCTGGAGTGTTTCCCGGCCTTGTTAGACACTGAACCCTGTGTCTGTCCTTCAGTCGACCTTCTGGTGTGCATCCTGTATCTCCGGTGTCTTTAAATCAATTACAGGGGTTTTTACTTGTTTTGTTTCGTTTTACTTGTTTTTTTTTTGTCTAGTTGTAGAACATAGGTAGGAAAGCAAAAAAAGGAAAAAAAAAGTTACTGAGCTTAGTTGTGCCTTTTGAGACTTTTTGAAAACCTCTTTAAGTACTTGAATTTTATGTCAGGAAAATAAACGTTTGAGCCTTGTTTTTCCGTCTTGCCTTTGGCCTCCTCGTTCTTTTGGGGGGAGGGGAAAAGAAGTGGGGTACGAGGGAGGGTCACCCCCATTTTCTTTTCCCCGCAAAATCTCTTATTTAAAATTTCCCTGATTTTCTTAATACCTCTTTTATTCTCACCCACTCTTAGAAACTTCCTGCTCCGCCCCCCCCCCAGCAAAACATTTGCTGATTTCATTTAAAAATATTTCTCTGCGTAAGATTTCAACATCTTTATTGTAGCTGCTGGTTTTAGTTTAAAGGTTACCTTCCAAAGAAGTTCTTAATCCTGGTGCAAAAGCCCATCCTGGTGCTACGTGTGAGAACATGAGGAGAAATAAAATAGTTTGAAGTGTTGTTGTTTTCTCTGGTTGATTTTTACCTGTGGCCCCAAATGTAGAACAGATATCTTGGTGGAAACGAATTTTTTTTCAGTTTGCGTGAGAGGTTAGTTCCAATTATATCAATTCTATGATGATCCACCCTGCGTCTGGCGATTTGATCTCAGCTATTTGCACATGAGCGAACACGATCACCTGCACAGTGCCTTTATCTCGCGTGGTTTTACCTGCTGTGTCTGTGGTGGGACAGGTGTCATTTCGGGGCAGTGGGGACGGCGGAGGGGTGGGACAGGTTATGGCCGTCGCTCAGAAGCGGCTTTCTGCAGGAAGGGCCTTGGCTTCTGATTCTCTGGGTTTCTTTAGTAGCAAGCACCGAATCATTGTGCGTCAACCGGGCTGGAAAACCACCTGGGTGATGATGATTTGGGAATTCTAGGATTGTGTTTCGGTCGTGTTAAAGTCAAGAGCTGTAGCTGCTGGTCTGGGGCAGCCGGCAGCCAATCGCGGCTGACCGGAGAGCAGGTGGGGGCCACCTGGTACGGCGCAGAGGAAGGGGCGGCCTCTCTCCCAGTGTGTGTCTCTGCTGTGGTCTCTCCCCCCCCCCCCCCCCCCGCGGCTGGCACAGTGGGCTTCCCAACACCTGATCTCAGCGTACAGTCGTTGTCAACTAAAGTAACTTCAGATTTGTCAAAGTCCAGCAACTTCCAAGGCGGGGACTAGAGAAGTGGTCGCACTTCTTTTCAACCTTCTGAACAAAGACTGTTTAGAGAATCGGATGTTTTAAGATAGCGCATGTCGGCAACACGGAATGATCTCTGAAAACTTTGTTCCTACTAAGCTGCTTTGCCTGTGTGCTTGCTTGTTGCTTTGCTAAATATTTGTAACGTGACAGCCCCATCTTGTGGTCAAATAGAGAGTTCACCGAGGCTAACCTTGGCACACAGTGCGAAAGCCTGGATTTTTTGATGGATTCAGACCCAGCTTCAATTTTAATGTTAATTTTTTTTATCTTAAAGGCTAATGGGGAGAATCACTGCAGGTGTTGGTTTGTTTGTATCATTCTTTAATTGTAATGGACAACACAGTATTTCACGAGGAGGAAGTGTAGCACCTTATTCCAAAAAGGATGCAAACTAATTTTCCTAAACTATGGAGGTGATTGGTCTTCGATTCTTCTCTAGAGAATTCTGGTCAGTGGTCTACAGTAGGGTCCTAAAATGGATGTTGAAACATCATACCTGACACACTGGTTTGGAGTAGACAAGGTAAGCGATCTAATATTATACCCGCACTTCCATCAAGTCCTTTAAAAAAAGAATTACTCTGTGTCCAGGGGAAGCAAATGATAGGAGTTTGTTTGTTTTTGCTTTTGCTGGTCTTGGGGCTTGAACTCAGAACCTGAGCACTGTCCCACTGAGCTTCTTTGTGCTTAAGGCTAGCACTCAACCACTTGGAGTCACAGCAGCACCCTTTCTAGCTTTTTCTGAGTGATTTCTTGGAGATAAGAGTTTCATGGGCTTTCCTGTCCAGGCTGGCTTCAAGCTGTGATCTTCAGATCTCAGCTTCCTGAGTAGCTAGGGCGACAGGCGTGAGCCACCAGCACCTGGCTAATGTACTCCTTGGGCACCTTGACCGACTGCAGCTACCTGTCCCGACACGGAGCTATCCCAACGTGAGCGAGAGGGATCACCGCGTAAGCCTCCCATCCTGCAGTACAAACACGAGTCTGTGGTCTGCCCTGCCCCTGTGAGCGCAGACAGGGTGTTGATTTACACCCTGAGCTCCTTGCGGGCAGGGGCGGGTCTCTGGGGGCGGTCTGACAGAGAGCAGGGTTGGGGGTCCTGGGGCTTGCTTTTCTGTCTGAGGTTTGTATCTGAATCACACCGTCCCCGGAGGAGGACAAGAAGTCTTGCGTCTCATGGGGAGACAAGAATAGAATCGGGTCTGTGTCTACTTCAGGTGTGAGATGCAGACTGGAGTGAGGTTGAGGGGATGGTGAAGGGAATGAGGATTCGTACAAGGAAACCTGTGGCCGTCCTGATTCTGGTCCGTGTGTGTGTGTGTGTATGTGTGCACATTCTAGGCCTTTAATAATTATTATGTATAATTAATAATCTTGAACGGAAGCGATCGGATGCATACATCTTAAAACAGTTTTCGGAAATGTGCTCCTCTGGATCCATCCAACCACCCGTGGGCCGCACGCTGCCTAGTTTGCCCTCCCGCCTTTAAACTGAAAAAACAGCTCTAAACTCGGAGCATTGGCAGGCAGCGGGTTTCCCAGAGGCCCAGCCCAGGGGCAGGCGGGAAGCGTGTTTGCCCTGAGGCCGCCTGGGTTGCCGTGGCTACCGGCGTTGCCGTGGTGACAGAGGCCCGGCTCCCCAGTCCAGGGCCTGTTGACTTCAACATGTTATTCAGAAGCAGTGGCAACGGATGACGAAGCGTCCCTTTTATAATTTCAGAGGTCTGGAGTTCTACAGATCTGTCCAAAGAAACAAACGAATGGCTTCAGTGGGCTATGTCTGGAGTCACATAGAAAGAAAACAAAAAGACGAGGTTTTGGGGTGGCATGTGGAGAATCGTGTGCACTGAACAGACTTGTGTGTCAACACAGAGAAGAGCTTTTTCCAACTCTTAAGTGAGTTGGCTGACCAGAGACATTTCAGAGGTCACACAGTGAAGAGAGCTGGAGAGACAGACAGAGAGCAAGGAGACCAGGTCCCGCCACCCTGTTTTCATTCGGGGTAACCATGGGAGAAGGGGCCCAGAGCACGGGCCGGGCTCCACGCTAGTTCTGGGTGGCGATTCTCGGATGGGATTCTCTCCCTGCATTCACGGCCCTCCCGCACCCATGCAGTCCAGTGTCACGCAGTCTTTAGGCACGCGGTGAGGACAGGAAAAACACAGCCCCTCTGCGTCTCCTATTGGATGTGTCTGGCATGGAGCCCCCGATGCACATGGTCTCCCCAGGGGCACAGGCCGTGCTGTGTGCCGAGGGCAGGTCGGAGCTGAGCCTCGGGGTCTTCCCTGGCCGCCGGGGCCTCTCTGCCGCGCATCCGGTAGCCGGCAGGCGTCCTGGGGTGCATTCTCCAGTGCCTTTGCTGGGATAGCACTCTACCACTGTTGCAGAACGCCTCTCTTTCTTTTCTTAGAGGATGCATTTACATAGGGGTGCGTGTATTGCTGGAAGAACCCGAAGATTTGATCTTCAGGTGTAGAGGCTCACTTGGTGCCAACCAACAGGAGAATCAGGATTAGAGGAGGTCCTAAAAGCCAGGGTGTCCAAGCCCTGGGGTACCCATGCCTTTAAACACGCCCCATTTCCCAGGCTTCAGACCATCTGAGCTCCCCGCCGACCCCGGATGGAGGGGACAGGACTGCTGCCTCGATGGTACCTTCAGAGACAAACCCAGATCCGGCAACCCACCCCTGCGTGGTGGGCAGCCACCGCCGGGACCAAGCCCATCGGCCCCACGGGGGGCGTCTGCCCAGCGTTCGTTTGCCTTGGTGCACGGGGGATTCATGGCGCATTTCCGTGTTCTCATAGGGGTTCTCAGCCGAATGTGCTCTCCTTGGGCGTTAACCTGGGTGAAGGTCCGCACACTCGCTTTGGCAGGTGCGTCTGAGCTCGGTGGGTGCGGCTGGCCGGCTTCCCCGCAGTGCATCCGGGTCCACGCGTGGCCCCGTTGGCCACGGCGCTCTGTTCACGCGTGTGTAGGAGCAGCAGGGATCGCCGTGCTTTTCCCGTGACTTGCATTCGCCTCCTTCGGTTTGCGATTGCTTTTGGTGAGGGCTGGGCGGGCGTTCCTCGGCTGGGCGTTCTTCACCTGGTAAGATGCTGAGGTAGGACTTCGGAGCTTCACTTTCATGTTTTCGTGGAGCCAAGCATAGAGGGCGATGCCATTTCCCCTTTTTTGCCTTTAAATTACAGCCCTGACGGCTGGGACGGTTTGTGGAAGCCGCTGCTTTCTCTCCACAGCATCTCGGGCTGGCCGTGTCGCCCGGCGTGGTGAGCGAAGAGGCTGAGCGCACGGCACCTCTGTAATTTGCAGAATTGCTTCGGGGAGACCCCACCCAGATTAGAAAGGGGTTGAGCCTTTTAATCAGCGCTGATTTACGACTCTGGTTTTCAAAACTGGTGTTTCCACAGACGTACTGATTTTGCAGCTGGCTGGAAAGAGACGCAGAAGCCGGAAGCCACTCAGCTTCACGGCCTGTGGCCACCCCGGGGCCGGCGGCCGTTCTCAGAGCTGCCCACGTTGCTGCT